TCGCCTGCACTGCATGCGTGTACTGCGGGGTGGCCTACCCCGGATCTCACAGGCGCCGAGGTCCCGCAAGTTGTTGTTTGAATAAATCTGAGGAAAACGGATGTACTAACTAGCTAGCTAGCCCGTACGGACCGAACGTGTATGTAGGCAATAGGCAACCTTACGGGAGTGGGCGAGAGGTGGGCGGGGCTACTCACCTGCGACTGCTTCTCGGCTGCCCGCACGCCACCTGCTGGAGTCCTGCAGCCAGGCCCTGGCGCGGCCACCTAAGCACGACCCTTTGTCGCGCTGCTTGTCTATCCGTGTCTGACGCACGCGGCAGCCTGCTGGGGGGGGGGGGGCGCCTGGAATTATTTATGGCACGAAGGACGCCTGGAGCCTCCAGCTGGAGGGGCTCTGCCGAGGCTCTGCGCCTGCCTGCAGCCGTGACCCGAAGGATGGCGTCTCGTCTCGCGTGAGCTGTCGGCCGGACCTGCTGGGGGCGCCTGGGGGCCAGCCCGGCGGCGGCCCGGGGGAGTAGTCGTCGGGGTTGTGCTTGTGAAGGACAAGCTCGCCTCCGAGAGGCAGGCGCTCAGAGGCCGGGGGGCCGGGTCACTCGAGAGAGCACTGTACGTTTTTCTCCTTGCCGCCCTGAGGAAAACACTAGAAAATCAAAGACCAGTCGCAGTTTCTTAAGCACACCTGCGACTTAGCACCTTTGTTTTTCTGGTGTAGTCGTGATACGTCAACACGTCGTCCTTGCAAAACAAAGTACAAACAACAATCCTGAGTTTACAGATGTGTGGAAAAATTACCCCCCGTTCCATGGAATTCCAGCTTTCTGTCCGCGCGTGTATAATCTTTTCCTGCGCATTTCTCCCTGGGTCTCATCGCCCACTCACTGACGACGCTCGGGCTGGGGTGCACATCACTCGCTCGGGCGTGGCAAGGCGGGGCGGACTGGGCTGGGGCGGGGCGCTAGGTGTGTAACCTTATGCACTAACTGCTCCCGCGCCCCGCCGCGCCCTGCCCGCGCGTACGTCAAAGAGAATAAAATGCATTATGCATTCGCGCCTGCTCAAAATGTCAGGAGTGCGGCGAGGAGGTGAAGGGCGAGGAGAAAGTGTGTGGTGCGAGGGGGTAGGGGGGAGGGGGGAGTGGCCGCACCGCACCGCACTAGTCCAGTTCGGTTGGGTTCCGTTCGGCCTGGTCACGCGAGCTCGCTGTCCCGGGGCGGGGCGGGGTGCGGCGGGGCGGGGCGCCCATGCGGCCACGCGTGCTCTGTCTCCGTCGCACTTCCATTTGCATCGTAATATGATGGCCATAACGCGTAACCCGTAGGCGTGCGGTCTCTAGGGGGGTTCAGGGGGCGGGAGGGGGATGTATGGTTTCCCAAGAGGGGCGCCTTCCAGACGGGAGAGGGACAGTGAAGAGAGAGAGAGAGAGAGAGAGATGAGGGAGAGGGGGCTGAGCTTCCTCACTGCAATGGCTTTCCTGCTGTCCGCTGCTGGACACAGACAGCCCCGCAGGACAGCGCCCCTCTGCAGCTGTCCCGGACAGGCGGCAGCCCAGCCCGTACTGGCCAACGCCCACAATACACTGACCCACTGGCGAGAGAGAGGGAAGCAACGGGGTTTAGGGCGAGGATTAAAAGTGATGCGGGGTAAAGGGAGAGGGGAGGGGTCGAAAGTGAGGGTTAGGGGCGAGGTTAGGGGGCTGCGAATGAATGGTTGCACCAGAGGAACGGGGCCACAGCCGGAAGGGGTCTCGCCCTTCAGGAGTGTGTGGCACGAGAAGTGGGAAACAAACAAACAAACAAACAAACAAACAAACAAAACATATGGAACAAGCGAAAATCGTAGCAATTTGCAGAACCTCTTGGAGGTCTTGATTCCCTCTGGTCGGCGACCGTTAGTCACACCAGTTACTGTAATCACCTGCTCCATTGACGATCAAACCCAGAGTTGACGACGTCTCTGACGACCCAAAGTTTTCCAGTTCCTTCGGGCAGCCAGGGGAACTTCGGCGCGGCGGCGGGCGACAGACGGCAACTTTACTGGTTGGAGAATAGAGCCGATTAATTCTTTGTAGGAAAGGGAGAGAAAGTAGGTGTTAGTAGGAGGCGAGAGGCAAAGGGGAGGGTGTAAGTTTCTTATCGACAACTGCTCTTTGTAACCTACGAAAATATTTTGAGTCTTCGTAATGCGAACAAACAATTGTTATTACCGTAATACAAACCGAGTCTGTTCGTAATACGAAGAAAATTATAGACTGTAATTATTATAGCTGCTCCAGATCCTTTGGACATTAAGCCCAATTCTTCGTAAGACGAAACACTGCCGTTTGTTAGCTGTTTGTAAGGATCTAAGACTGTTGGGCCCTCTCCCATGGTTATCCGCACCTCGTAGGGAGGGGGTGGGGCAGGGTTTATGGGGGTGGGAGTGGTCGGTTGACGTCAGCGTCAGGGTGACGCAACCCCGATGTCGTTCGGTGGCGAAATGCGTCGTGTATCGATGACGTCATCGAAAGCAGCGCGATTTGTGCGGGAAACGACGCGGCCTGCCGAGACAGTAATCTGAGCGAAGGAGGTTGTAAAGATGGTGGACACGACCAGGGGCTCGGACGGGGTGTGGGGGAGCAGCAGGGGGAAGCCGTTGGATGTTGAGGGCAAAGGCAGAGGGACGAGCCGAGAGAGGACCCGAAGGAGAGCACCGAGTTCGTGCGTCCCGTACAAAGCCGGTCTGTGCCGCGCCGCGCGCTCGAGAGAGGGTGGGAGGGGGCGGCAGGCAGGGGGTTTGTTGAAGGGGGGTCGGCTGCAAGCGGCGCGCGGGGAGAGAGAGAGCACCGTTAATCAATAGCGAGCGGTGAGAGCGTCGCTCAGCGGCGGCGTGGCGGGCCACGAGACTGAGACGGACGGGCCGCAGCGCGCAGCCCGCGCAGCTCAAGGATATGGAAATAGACGGCAGTAGCTGAGTTCCACCCCTCCATTACACATTATTACACCCCTTACACCCTTACTCCGGGCTCCCTCGGCTTCTACCCCCCCCCTCTCCCCCCTTTCCGACGAGTGATAGAACCACTCTACCGGATTTATCCTTGTTGAATAAATGGAACTCAGAAAAATGTCATTGCGCTATGTAGATAGATAACGTTCGTGTGCAAGTACAGGCAGGATGTAAATCCTGGGTGCCCAGCAGGTGGGCGACATAATTCAGCACGCGTATAGATCATGTCCATGAGCTGTGTACAAATTCGTACACAACTGCGCACGCGTGTAAGAAAATAGTTCGCTGATACTGGTGTATCGGTTTGCCTCGGGTTTGCCTTTGGTTCGGCACGGGTTTGCCCTCATACACACGGTTGCGAACGCCTCAATTAGGATCACGCGGAGGGCCGCTTCGACCTGTTGCGGCGCGTTTTGTCGCCTCCCGTCTACTTATTTTTCGCTGTGTAAATCTCTTAGCTCGTGTGGACCCAGGAGCCCCGCCCAGGGGGCCACGGGGCCCCCCGGTGCGGTGGGCTCGGGATCGGAGGGGTGGGAGATAGGGGGGAAGCTAGGATAAGGCGGCTGCTTCCTTGAGCCTGTGAAATCCCTTTCCTTCCTCTCGTCCGCACGCGTCTCCCCCCCCCCTCTCTCTCTCTCTCTCTCTCTCTC